TTGTGTAACTCACCCTTTTGATTTTTATTTTAATGAAAAGATTTTTTCGATGGCCAAAAAAATTAAGGTTGCTCCAAGATTTGACAATTATTTCCCAAGATGCCCATCTCCACGTTGCATAATAGCAGCACAAGACCTTTAAAACTTGTATTTCGGGGCAAAGAAGTGATTTTCTAGTCTTCACGTTGCACAACAGTAGCACAAGAACCGTAAAAGCTGTAGTATCATGGTGAAGAAATAAAATTAACCAATCCTGCGGCGTGCGTGATTGACAATCCAGAATGCTTGTGTAATTGCAACGAACCAGAAGTCTTTCTACAGTCCGCAACTACACTTCGGAATAACCTGCAAAGCCCCGAGGTAGATCTCGGGGTAGACACTCCGATGCTTAAGTCAGCAATAATCGGGGTTACCTCTAGAGCGGAGATAAAAGGAGCTTAGGGTAGGTTTCAATTACCTTTTGACGTGGCCCGGAGGGGGTATTTATAGGATTCAATGAGGAACCCATGTGGCATGCCAAGCAAGATAGTCAGAGCCTAACGTGTCTATCCAAACGATTATTCCGGAACCGAGAATTTGAGAGGTATTCAGATGCACGGGTGTCCACCGTTCCTGCTATGCCGCTCATCATAAGGAATCAGGTGTGGACATGCTTATTGTCATTATCATGCAGCTATTTGAGCGGGAAGTTTCGGATTCATTCTTCACTTCGGTCATAAAGGAATTACTGTAGCAGTCCGAGGTTTGGCACCTCGGCCCTGTCCTTACACTATTCCCCCCCCGGAAGTCATTCGCTTGTGAATGATGGTGCTGGGGATAATGAGGGAAGTGTATGAACAAAGAGAATACAGATAAGTGATGGAAGTATAAGGGTGAAAGCTATATCTTTAAATTTAAACATAGCCGTAGCTAATAATGAAAGATGTAACAATGGGTCATACTGCGGTGGCTTAAATAAAGTAGAATCAGGGCGATCATGGCCGTAATCATGGGAAAAACAATGACCGGAGTCATAACGTAGTCAAGGTCATGATAAAAAAAGATGACCGGAGTCATAATAGCCGGAGCTGTAATAAAATATGATGACCGGAGTCATAATGGCCGGAGTCGTAATAAAATATGATGACCGGAGTCATAAGGGCCGGAGCCATAATAAAACATGTGACACTGGGTCACTGTGGCCGTAGCCGAAGTGAAACATGTGACACTGGGTCACTGTTGCCGTAGCCGAAGTAAAACATGTGACACTAGGTCACTGTGGCCGTAGCCGAAATAAAATAGTTGAAAAGTATAATTGTACAAGTGAACAAAAGTGCTGAGCTAGACTCAAGTATAAAGACGGAAGTCAAAATGGCCAGAGCCATAATAAAATATAATAACTGAGAATGTAATGGCTGTAACCGAAATTAAATGTGTGATATTGAATTACTGTGGCCGAAGCCGATGTGAAATGTAATGCAGCATTATTGTGGTTAAAGCCGAGGTGAAACACTTTGCACAATTGAGAATATGCAAAAGTGAACAGAGGTGTTGAAATGGGCGTAAGTGGACCCGTGTAAAAGTACTGACATAGGTGTGACAGTTGTCCTTTGAGTGACGTGCGCAATAAATGCAGCCGTAAAAAGATAACTGCAACAGTTAAAACGGGCAAATTTAAAAAACGAACCGTCGAATTGAAAACGGTATCGTTTAGTGTTGTCCGTTGAATTCCAAACGGTGTCAACAGGGATCGTCAGATTAAACGAATCTCAGTCGTTGAGATCCAATTTTGCCCAGGGGTATAAATAGGCATTTTTTCTGTAGAAAAAGGTTTACTTGCATTTCTTTTCCTGCAAAACTTCTGCGAGAAGCTTCATTGTGCATTTTCTGTTCGTGAACTGCGGTAACAACTGGGGATCTCTACATCAAATCTTTCGAAACCGAAATCAGGTACTGTACCCGAACTTCTGATTTTTGAGTTAATCGAAGTGTCTCTCTCCTTTCTCCCTTTCTGTGATTGATTTAGAGTCCTCTGAAGGAAGTTAGGGTTAGAGGCGAGAAGGATCTTGAATGTGCAACAACGGGGGTTTTTTTTTTTAAAAAAAGATCCTGACTTATTCCTCCCCCCTACTTCGTGCAGAGTTTGAGAAAATGTCGTTAGAAAGAACACAAAGTATAGTAGGGAGTGAGGTGGAGCCCCTGGACTATGGGAGGATGGACACAGAGAGTAGTCCATCTCCAACTAGTTCGGAGGAAACAGTGGAGGGGGTGAGAGGAGATGAGGTGGTGGAGGTTGGGGGGGTGAGGTGGCAGAGGTTGGGAGGAATGAGGTGATGGGGGTTGGGGTAGATAGCATACCCATCACCGTAGTAG